GCCCACCTGTCAGCTTCTTCTATCTTCTATCTAGTTGGGATGACAACTATCTCTTCCTACCTGGCATTCGAAGCCAGTCTGAGCCATGGTAGGGTTGGGCGGGGGGGGGGGGGGGGGGTTCTGGGCCGAGAACACCCAGAAAGGACCTCCGAGTTGCTGAGATGCTCCTGGCCCAAGACCGCTGGTCACGGGGGCCGAAGTGGGAAGGACTCCTTCACTGTGAGCCCCAAGGCACAGTTCTTAGGGCTCAGGTATTTTCCCATTTTCTACAGCCAAGCATTTCCTCCTCAAAGGCACAGCCACCCCTGGGGCCTGTGGGAAAGGCTGATAGAAGGATCTGCCCACGGTGTCGGTCTCCCACCCCCAGTCTCAGGGAAGCCAGGCTGCTTCCTATTGCCTCAGCCTTCGAGCATCCCCTTTATGTGGAATAACTGAGAGAGAAAGGGGGAGGAGAGAGGAAGGAAGGAAGGAAGGAAGGAAGGAAGGAAGGAAGGAAGGGAGGGAGGATGGGGAGGTGGGGGAGGGGAGGGAGGGGGCGATGAGAATTGTGTCATACCCTGACCACCCCCATTTCACATATGGGCCAACGCGTCCTTCCCAAGGCCAGCAGGTAGGGAGACAACTGGCCCCGAGCCCTCCTGACTCCCAGGCCAGCTCTCTCCTTGCTGGCTTGCGGATTAAATGGAGGCCAAGCTGGTCAGGGAGGTTGCTCAGAGGTCATGGCCTCTGAGGTGAGAATGGTAATGGCTCTGGAACATAATTTGTGTTTCTGCCTCAACAAAGCCTTTCCCTCATTGTTTCCTTTCCCCGGCTTGGGCTGGGCCCCTGCCCACACTCCCGCCCTCCTGTTCCCAGGCACTATCGGCTTGTCCTGGACCTTCCTGCTCTACGGGCTGACCGCTGTCCTCGGCCTGGGCTTCATCTACGTATTTGTCCCCGAAACCAAAGGCCAGTCACTGGCAGAGATAGACCAGCTGTTCCAGAGGAGACGGTGAGAGGGGACGGGGCTGGGCCTTGGGAAAGAGTCACATCAGATCCTGAGCAAATCAGTTCAGGATTTAGTCCTCACACTTTCTGTGTGCAAGAGAGCGTTTTTCTCCTCTTCCTGACCCTCTTAGTGCCTGGATGCAGTCAGTTTTGTCTTGGCCTCATACAGGAGCTGTTTCCCTTGAGTTGTTGATCTCTACCTACAGCAGAATTTCATGTGACGTTAAGGCCCGGCTCATGGGAATTTTAAAACCATGCCGTTATGGGATCACATGAGCTTAGAATAGTAAAATGCTAATGTCGCAGCATCTTAGAATCAGAGAAGCGTAGAGGAAAATTTTATAACGGTGGCCTTTTAAAGTCACACACAGAGAATTGTGGGCTTAATCTACTCAGTTCAGTGGGTGTTTATTAAGCCCCTACTCTGTGCCAGGCAGTGTCTGGGCCTTCGGAAACAGCCAGTGAGCCGCTGAGAGTAGGGACTTAAATAAACAAGCAGAAAGGAGGCTGAGATTAGGGACAGAAAATAAACAAGCCCATCAAGGCATCAGCAAGAGCATTTTGGGGAGTGATATGTAGCTGGAAGAAAAGGAAACAGTGAAATCTGTTGAGAAGGCCTGATTCACAGAGAGCGGGACAGAGGGGCAAGGCGTTGTGGCCAAATTAGAGTAGGTGGTCAGAGAGGGGAGGCCTCCTTGAGGAGGTGCGATTTAAGTTCGGGAGAAGGAGACAGCCATGTAAAGATGAGGGGGAGGAGCATTCCAGGCAAAGACAACAGCAAGTGCAAAGGCCCTGAGGTTGGGAGCGTATCTGGCATATGCAAGGAACAACGAGGAAACCAGGGTGGCTGGAACAGAGGGAGGGAGGGTGGCAGGAGGGGTAGAAGATCAGACCATCCAAGTTGGTAGGAGCTTGATCATGGCAGGTCTTTAGATCGTAGCGAGGAGTGGAGAATCTCAGCCTCGTGGGGCCTTGGGCCATTCAAATAATCGAAGAGAGGAATAGGGGCATCAGAAGGGACCTGTAATCCTACATGCCTTTGGCAAATGTCCCTGGTTACTTCTTGTAGTAAAAGGAGTCCCCAGCACCTGACTGCCCGTTCTATTCCTGGGAGGCCCTAAACGATTTTTTAAAAATAAGTCATTCTGATAGTGAGTTAGAACTCGCCTCCCGCGGCTGCCCGGCCTGCCAAGTCCCACCCGACCTGGTCCCCGAAGGGACGCAGAACTAGTCCAGTGTAACGGCCTCCAACCTGCTCCTCCCCGCCCCTGACTGTTCTCTGCAAGCGGAACACCCCCTGTTTTCTGGATGACCCCTCAGCAGCCCAACCCTGTCGGTTAGGAAACGGATCTGGCTGCTCGGAACACGGCTGGGGAGGCAGCTGTGCTCCGAGAGGTCATCCGGGGTCCCAGGCTCCTTCTCTCTGCTCTTTCCACCTTCTCTTCCGTATTACCTTTCCCACACAGCCCGGGACGGTGAGCCGCCACAGTCCCGGCAGAGGGGAGGGCCAGAGGGGGACGCAGTTGGAAAGATGCACCTGTCACTTCCACCCACATCCTTTGTACAGAACCTGGCGACACCCACCTGCAGGGGAGGCTGAGAAACAGGGGCTTTAGGGGCGCCTGGGGGGGGCTCAGTCGGTTGAGTGTCCAACTTCGGCTCAGGTCACGATCTCGTGGTTGGTGAGTTCCAGCCCCACATCTGTCAGCGCAAAGCCCACTTCGGATCCTCTGCCTCCCTCTCTGCCTCTCCCCACTCACGCTCTCTTTCTCTCTCAAAAATAAATAAACATTAAAAAAAAAAGATCTCACACACACACACACACACACACACGAAACAGGCTTTAATCTGATAGCAGGAGCCACTGGAATCTCTTCCATACGGGCTTTCCTGGGAGAAGATTCCAGCCGCCTCCTCTGGGATGAGGAGCTAAGGAGGCAGAAAGGCAGGTGGAAGCCGGCTTTGGGCTAAAGCAGGACGTAATTGCAGCTGAGGGAGGGGAGTGCAGGCTGGTAACTTGGGGTCACACGGCGGAGGCCGGGCCACCAGCCTGTGGGGAAAGGAAGCTGGGTCTGCCATGACCTCAGGAGGAGACAGGTCAAAGTGAGGGGCTTGGACAGGGTCTGGCAGTCCTCACTTTAGTTAGTCCCTAGAGTTCAGATATCAAGCCCTGACGTCAGAGACAGACGGGGACACTCACTGTCCCCCCCCCCCCACCTCCGCCCTGCGACTCTCCTTGACAGGTTCGCCCTGAGCTTTGGCCCCCGGCAGAGCTCTGCTGGCATCCCATACACCCGCATCGAGGTCGCTGCCGCCTCCTGAGGAATCCGTCTGCCTGGGAAGGTGCTGGAACCATGGCTTTAGCAGACAGTCTCCAGCTTCCTGCTTGCCTGGCCCCTGGGGCACAAGTTTTAGGTGGTCCTGTAGGAGTCACCCATGCTTTAGAAGAGGTCTGTTTGGCCCCGGGTGAAAGAGGAGAAAATTTGAGAACCTAGAAGTCTTCGTTTTGAATCTCAGGCTCTGAGGGCCCCTGACGATGTGCCTTCTTGCCTCGGTTTCCCCATTGTCTCTGCACGTCCCTGCAGGACCTATATTGACAACATCTCATGGAGTCTCCTTTGCTCCTTGGGCTTTCTCAGAGAACCTCTAAGGAACCGGTCCTGGAAGGAAGTCTCTTCTGGCATCACCCCCAAATCCAGATGAGGATACACTATACTCTCAGCTCTCTTTTTCCATCCGGCTGGGACTTTTCGGTGAGAGGGGAGCCAGCTCAGGTCACGATCTGTGTGACCCCACAGTCACCAGCAGCTCAGACTGGGTGACAGGCTGCTTGAGTTCTAGTCCCGCTTCCCTGGTGTCATCGCGACATGACCGTGGGCCTCAGTTTCCCCGATATGTACCATGGGGGACCTGGACCAAGGAGTTCTTTAAGATCACATCCGATGCCAATGAGCTGGAATTCTAAATGCTGCTAATTCAACACAGGTTCAGCGTGAGCCCTGCTCTCAAGCTGCCGGCCATCTCTTTAGGGGATGTGAGTTTTAATTAGGGGAATGGTAAATAGAATTCCAGAATCGTATGCACTAGAATCCAAGAGCTGACATGGTGTGTGAAGCAAGCCCTGGGAGCTGTTTCCAGGATGGTGCAGGACAGCTCTGCGGAAAGGAGATGGGTTTGGAGGCTGGCAAGCCTGGATGCTGGTGTTGTCTCTGTCGCCTTGGGTAACAACTCCCTCTAGCCTCAGTTTCCACATCTACAGAATGGGGATGATTGGGCCCCCGGGGGTGTATTTAACCCCTGTCTGACTGCAGGAGGGTCTTCAGCTGGTCCCATCCAGCTAGTCAGGGCCGGGGGGGGGGGTTCTGTTCACCCTCAGTTACCGAGGCCCCCACCTTTGAGACACTGTTAAGGGTCAACCCTGAGGGGTGAGACAGAGATTAAGCAAGGAACTCGGGCCAGAGGTCACCAGAGGAAGGGCCTGGCAAGAGTGAGTTCTGGGGCGCCTGGGTGACTCAGTCGGTTAAGCGTCCGGCTTCAGCTCAGGTCATGATCTCATGGTTCGTGAGTTCAAGCCCCGCATCGGGCTCTCTGCTGTCAGCACAGAGCCCACTTCGGATCCTCTGTCCCCCTCTCTCTCTGCCCCTTCTCTGCTCACACGCATGCTCTCTCTCTCTCTCAAAAATAATAACTTAAAAAATTAAAAAACAAAAAAGATGAGTTCCTGGATGCTGAGGCAAATGAAAAGCTAACGCAGACCCAGGGCGCTGACGTGGGACGACCTTGGTCATCTGTGCCTGCTCCGTGGTCTCTGGACTCTGGACTCTTGGCTTCTCTCCTCTTGTTCTAGATGCTTCTCTTGCACCCAGTGGTGTGCGGGAGGCCCCTCAGCCTAGCTCGTGAGAGCCCGTCATTAAGTTTTCAGGACTCTTGCCAGCTGGTTGTGGAACAAAGCCATTTAGAGAAATTAAATTATTTAAGCTCACACTTCAATAAATTCTATTAACAACAAAAGTAATACATGCTAAAAACCCATCACTTCCTTATCTTGCTACCTCTCGCTCTGCCCTGGAGGTTCCTTGCGTATCTTACAAGAGACACGGGGACATCCTCCCTCCCCCCCCCCCCCCCCCCCCGGTGGTTGCCGGGGGGCCCGGGGGCACAAAAAAACGCCCCCGTGGGGGGGGTCTTGGCCCGGGGGGGGGGGGGGTTGGGGGAGCGCTGCCAGTGGGGGCTTGACTTACCGCTTCCTTGGTGTCCCAGGCTTAAGGGCGTGATGGATACAATGTTAGCAATGCACGTTGCGAGCGCGTCTGTCGCGTCTGTGGCTGACACGTGAGTGGCACGACAAATTCAGGGAATGTTCTTCCCGTATTCGAAGGCTGTTACCCCACACAACAAACACGATCTGACCCGCATTTTCATTGCTTTGCCCTCGTAAACAAAAATTTCAGCCCGCGTTTCATGTCGAAACTACACTCGTTCGTTCTTCAGGGCTGTGGGGAGGAGGGGGCTCCTCTGTCGCCGGGCGTTTATTCCTAGTGTGATCTCGTCAAGTCGTGGCTGCAGGGCAGTGATCGTTGGCTTTGGATACAAGAATTTGGCAAACCACCTGCAAAACCCTTGGGTGGGAATTAACTGGCGGGGTATGGAGTTTGTAATAAAGAATATTTACAACCGGGTGTGATTATTTGTGACTTCTGTGCAACGAACACATCCTTTAGCCCAGTTAAAATGTGCACCCGCACGCATCTGTTGTCCTGGAGGGCCGTTCAGATCCAAATCTCTCTTCAAGCCTCTCTCAATTCCCCTTTCCTATCAGCATAGAGAATGCTTTTCCAGTCGTAGACCGGACTCCCTGCTTTTTGGTCAGGGTCATAAACTCAGTGGAGGGACAGGGACTGTAAATGAGCAGAACCGGTTGTGGTGAGTTTTAGTAGGGAGGGGTGTTGTCCTCGGAACCAGGCAAACACAGGCTGTCTCCAAAGGGGACGCCTGACATCCGGTTCCAGCTGGTGGCTGCCGTGGAGGACTGTGGGCCTGTCGTGGCCCGGCCATCTGGCTTTTCAAGAAAATCCAGCAACTCAGACTTGGGTGCCAAATTTCCCGATTTGTTAATAGTGACAATTGATGCTTACGTGAAAAATAGGGTTTAAGCTGGACAAAACATGCCTGTGGCTAACTCACGGCCTTCTGTGCGTGCCTCGGCTCTCGAGGCCTTTCCCTCTGAGGCCCCCTTGCGTCTGGATTCTTGGGGCTCCCAGCGTAATCTCTGTAAAGGGTCACGGTTTTGGAAGTCAATGCCAAGCAAATCGAGTAGCCAAAGCAGCATGACTTGAGTAAGTTGGAGGGAGTGTTCTTGAACGTGGAGGAAAGCGTCACGGAGGGAAGAATGGTTCGTATCCCAGACATGTTGTACGGGCACAATTAGGTGTGTAACTTGCTAATTGTTCATCTGTGTAATGGGGAGGATACTACCTACTATTTAGAGATGATATACGTCAGTTCAGAGCTGGGCCCGCGGTAGGTGCTCAGAAATGGTCGAGTCCCAGCAGCCCCCAGGAGCGTCTGGCCCTGGGTGACGAGGCTAGAGAGGGTGAGAACCAGGTGGCCGTTCGTAATGGCGGGGAGGACACCAAAGAAATCGAAGAATGTGCGGTACCTACTAGGCAATCAGGGGTCTTTAGCACCAACTAGAAAAGACGCGGGGACTGGTCAAAGATCTTTCTCCCAGATAATCTCAGAATAGCTTCAGGGAAGCATTTCCCAAACCCCAGTCTCAGGCACAGCCTTTTCGTACGTGGGCCCATCACGAGGTACCTCCCTGTTGTTTGCCAGATGGCATTATGTAGATTACTCACCTAATACTTTTTTTTTTTTTTAAAGTGATTTGCTTTTCAGCTTAAATGTATTTTAAAAAGAAACTATACTGGGGTACCTGAGTGGCTCAGTCAGTTAAGCATCCGACTTCAGCTCAGGTCACGATCTTGCAGTTCATGAGTTCGAGCCCTGCGTCGGGCTCTGGGCTGACGGCTCAGAGCCTGGAGCCTGCTTCAGACTCTGTGTCTCCCTCTCTGTCTGCCCCTCCCCTGCTCATGCTCTGCCCCCCCCAAAATAAATAAAACATTAAAAAACAATAAAAAAAATAAAAAGAAACTATATTAATTTATTTCTCCAATCGAATGCAAATTTACTGAATTCTACCGTGTGCCGGGTGCTGTTCCAGACCCTGGGGCACAGTAGTGAAGGGAAGGAAAGACGGGGAGGAAGGAAAAGTAGATGGATGGCTGGATGGCTGGATGGAGAGACAGGTGTGTGTCAGGTAGTGAGGAGTGCTGAGGTAAGGGGGGGACGGGGGTGCTCGCATGCAGCTTTAGCTGGGAGAATCAGAGACAGCCTCTTTGCGGTGGTGGCATCCGAGCAGGGACTTGCGTAAAGGACTAGAGTGAGCCATGGAAAGATCTGGAGGGGGGAAAGCATCCCAGGCAGATGGGCCAGCATGTGCAAAGGCCCTGAGGTAAGTCTGAGCTTCCCATATTGGAGGGGCATCAAGGAGGACGCCGCATATTTACGTGGCGTTTGTGAGCCTAGGAGCGTTGCACATGCCACGGGTGATACCACAGGTAGGTGCCGACGGTCAGGGACTCGTGACATCAGGACAGAGACAGGTGGCCTTTGTTGTTCCTACCTCACGCTGTCCCGGAGAGCAGCGTTCTCAGTGTCACTGTGGACCCGGTTTAGAGCGAGGTCTCCGCGGTCCTCCGAGGAAGGAGGGCCGCGGGTTCCTCCGGTTAGAGGAGAAGGCTGTGTAGACGCTGCCATTATCTCCCGGCTGCTCTCGAAGGGCTGGCCATCCAGAGGGAGAGGCGAGGAGGAAGAGAAGAGACAAGATGCGAAACCAAACAGTTGCCGCACCTGAGATCGTCACACCAGGGTTGAGGGGTGGAGAGCTTCCATGCCTGTCTTGCGGGTCAGAGAGCTGAGGCTTAAGAGGCAGATGGCTGAGTCTCTCCTCCCTAGGCTCCTGCCGGCCTCCCCGTGACCCCACATCCGCTTGGATGACCCCTCGCCAGGCTGGCCTCCTGGCTGGTAGTCTCTGTGGTCCCATGTCGACCTCTTCTATCAAAAACACATTCAACAATAAACGTGCTTTATTATATTTTTTAGTTTATTTAAAGAGAGAGAGAGAGAGAGAGAGAGAGAGAGAATGAATGGGGGAAGGGCAGAGAGAGAGAATCCAAAGCAGGCTTTGCTCAGAGCAGAGCCTGGCGCAGGGCTCAGTCTCGCAACCTCGAGATCGCGACCTGAGCTGATTTCAGGAGTCGAACACTTAACCGACTGATCTACCCAGGCGCCCCAACAGTACGCATACTTTCAATGTTTTCTTTCAAATGCCCCACTTCCTGACCACCCTATCCTAACATTTCTGCTAATATTCTAATGCTCCCCAAGGCAACAGTTCTCGGACCTCACTGGGAACTTTGACCTCGACATGCCTGCTTTTTCAGCATCCACGGAAAAGTTCAGCCTTCACTGTCTGTCTCGTCCAACCCAGATCCCACATCCCAACCTTATAATCAATCCCCGCACACGCCCTTTTGCAGACCCCGCCGTTCGAATCCTATCCTCTCTCTGCTCGTATGTGGGCAGAGAATGACGTAGAAGTCCTACAACGCGACAAAGAGGTTGCGCTTGAAATTCCTGAACTCAGACCTCACACTCCCCCTCCAAATACTCCCTCTGCATGGCAGTCGATACATTTAAAAGGCAGTTGACAAAATGGGAGGGACTATTTGCAAACCATAAACCTGAAAAAGGGCTAGCCTCCAAAATACGTAAAGAGCTCCTAGAAACCAATGAGCAAATAATCCGATTTAAAAATAGACAAAGGACCTGAATACACCTTCTTCCAAAGACATACGAACCGCCAATAGTATATGAAAAGGTGCCCAACCTCATCAGGGAAATGCTAGTCGGAACCACAATGGGATGGCACCTCATACCGGTTAGGATGGCTGTGATAAGAAAGGCAAGAGCTAACAGGTGTTGGCGAGGATGTGGAGAAAAGGGAGCCCTCGTGCACTGTTAGCGGGAATGTGAATTGGTACAGCCACCTTGGAAACAGTCTGGAAATTCCTCAAGGTATTAAAAATAGAACTATCATGGGTTCCTCCAATCCTACTCTTGGATGTACACACAAAGGAAATGCAATCTCTGTGTCCAAGAGACAAGGTAGCATCACTCACAATAGCCGAGATATGGAAACAACTTAAATGTCCTTCAGTGGATGAGTGGATAAAGAAAATACAGTATATGCATATACATAAGGGAATCTTATTCAGTCATGAAAATCAAGGAAATCCTGCCATTTGCAACAAGGTAGCTAAATCTGGAGTGCGCCCTGCAAAGCGCAGTAAGCTGGACGGAGAATGACCAATACTGTATGGGGTCACTTATATGTGGAATCTTAAAAAAATAAATAAATAAAGGCCCGTTTCACGGAAACAGAGAGTAGAATGGTGATCGCCAGGAGTTGGGCGGAAATAAGGAGATGGAGGTCAAAGGGCACAAACTTTCAGTTATGAGAGGAGTAAGTTCTGAGGCTCTGTTTACATCCTGGCGCCTAGAGCTAATAACGCCGTATCACGTAGTTGAAAGTTGCCCACAGGGGCGCCTGGGTGGCGCATCCCACTCTTGGTTTCGGCTCAGGTCATGATCTCATGGTTGTTGAGTTTGAGCCCCGCGTCGGGCTCTGCCCTGACAGTGTGGAGCCTGCTTGGGATGCTCTCTCTCTCCCTCTCTCTCTGCCCCTCCCCTGCTCATTCTCTCTGCTTTCTCGCAAAACAAACAAATAAACATTTTTGAAAAGTGTTTAAAAATAAAGTTTCCGAGAGTAGACCTTAGGCATTGTCCCTACACATACGTAAAAGTGTTAACTCTGTGAGTGATGGGTGTGTAATTACCTCGATCCTGGTTTTTATTCCACGACACGTATGTATGTCAAATCATCACGCTGTATCACATGTATGTAAAATCATCACTTTAAATAGGTACAACGATTAGTCAATTATTTGTCAATAAAGTAAAAAAGACCCCTCAAAACCAAAAAA